AGCAGGAAGAACCCTAGCTCTCGGACGACCTTGACCCATGCCCTCCCCGGCCTATCAGAGCAGGAGGGGCAGAAGACCTCGGCTGCTAGCTGTCCCAGGTCCCACGCGCTCCTGCTGCTGCTCACCCTGGTCCTCACAGTGGCCGGGCCTCGGTGGCGGTAACTGCCCCCTGACACCAGAGACTGAGGCCAAGGACTTTGCCAAACGTGGAACAGATATTTAATTCCCTTTGGCCTGAAGAGCCCAGGCAACAGGACAGGTGGCTTGCACCACCCCGGGCAGTGGGCCGAGGCCCTGGCCCCCAGGCCGGGCCTTCCCCAACACCCTGGCTTTCAGTGTCACATGAGGCCCTCTGGCCAGCTGGGAGTCAGTGTCCCCAAAAGCCATGTTTCAGGGACTCAGGGCGCCCCTGATGCTACCCCACCCCCCAGCTCCCTGCCTGAGGCCTGCAGAGGCAGCTGCCCTGGGCAGCGTCCCCAGAGACAGCATGTGCATCTGTGCCTTCTGCTTCCTGCTGGGGCCCTGCCAGCCGACCCCAGGCCCCCAAGAAGCCTGCACGGGCCGTGGGGTGCCAGCTCCAGGACCCACCAGGGCTATGACGACATGGTCTGGGCTCGGGTGCTAACTCCCAGGGCCACAATCAGGGCCTGCTGTGGGGCGTCCATGGCTGTCACCTGGCCCCAGGGAAGTTGGGTAGCCGGTGAGACTCCACTCAGGGCCAATGTGACCTGGTACTGCGGGCCTGAGAGCTTCCAGGCCACTTCCTGACCCAGCCAGTGGGGGGCAGGGCAGGTGTTGACTGTTAAGGGCTGTCTCAGACATGCACACACTTGTTCATGGTCCCAGATAGCTCCGGAGGGACATGGGGTCCCTCTGGGACCCTGGCACCCTCCATGGCCTAGATCCAAGAGTGTAACTCAGGCTGGCAGGGCCGCTCCCCCTGGGTCCTCGCTGCCCTGGGCAGGGGGCTGCTGTCTCATTAGAATGTGGCCCTGCCAGGGGACTGATGCCAAGCTGCTGCGGCCCAGGGGTGGGAGGGTCCTAGCGCCCCCCAGCTCTGAGGAGGCCTTAGTGCTGCTTGCTTTTGTCCCTGAGTGGGCAGGCTTCCCTGACACCTCACTAGACAGGTCCCTGGCAGACCAGGTGTTCCTACCCCCAGCCTGTCCCACAGCCCCACCACAACCCACTCATGCCAGCTGGCCCCAGGTGGCCTTCCGCAGGCACTTAGTTGGGGCAGGAGCATTCTGCCTGGCCCTCCTGCACCCATGCCCATGCCCAGGCCCCTGGAAGGGGCGGCTCTGCGCAGTCCCAGCTGGGCAGTGGTCAAACCTGCTGTGTTCTTCCTCCATGAGGCCCCCGCTGGCCTGGGACAGCGATGTGTTTTGAGTCTGTATGAATAAAAAGCTGGAGACCTGCACAGGACAGCCTCCCTGGAGCTCTGAGCCTGCCCCTGCACAGCTGCCACACAGACTGCGCGTGTACACACGCGTGCATCTGTGTGTGGTGGCAAGCACGGATGGCTGCACCCACTGAGCAGACTGCGTGTGCGCCTGTCTCCCCACGCAGCACAGGCCGTAACTGTACCGAGTCCCACCTCCCACACACTGGCACCTGAGCCGGCCCCACCAGCCTGTCTGCACTCCACCTGGTGCAGGGGGGAGAGGCCGAGCTCAGAGGCCCACAGCTCCACCTCTGCCCACTGGACAGGCACCGTCCGGCCCCCAGGAGACCCAAGTTGGGGAACTTCCCCAGGCCTGACGGGGTGTCCTGGGTCTGTCTCAAGCAGAGGGATTCCAGGTGGTGTACCCTAATCCCCACCCTCACCTCAAAGGTTGCTCTGCTTCCCTGCTCCTGTGGGGCCACACATCTGGGCCTAGGGCCGGGCCCCTCAGCTGAGGAGCCCACAGCAGCGCTCAGGGAGGCCTAGTGCTGGGCAGTGCCACCGAAGGCTGCTGACCCGGGAGATGCCTCCCACAGCTGCCGGCAGTGTTCCATGGTCCCCACCTGGACCCACATGTGTGAGACACACGGGTGGGTGCTGTGCCCGTGGGAGACGTGGCCCGAGCTCGGCTCCAGCAGGGCCAGCTCCTTGGAGACTGAGCACACATCACCCCCGGGACACGCCCACCTACCGCTCCCATGAGCCCTGGGGGACGGGGCCGGCTGGGCTCACTCCTGGCTGTAGTTGGAGTGCACAGGGCCCTTCCGGACCAGCAGAACCACAGGCTTCCTGTGCAGCTGCCTCGGGGGCTTCTGGGAGTCTTCGGTGTTCTGGAACAAATGCGTCCTTGCTGTCAGAGAGAGGAGGACAGGTGAGGTGGCACCTGCACGGACAGCCGACAGGCCGGGAGCAGGCTGGCAGGGGCCTCGTCTCCAGCTTCACAGCCTCCCTTCGGGTGCCAGCCCTGCCTGGGTGGGGACAGGCACGCCTGCATTGCTGGCTCCCCATTCCTCAAGGGAGGTTGGGGCCCAAACTGCACTACCTGCTAGGCAGAGGTCAGCCCACTCCCCAAGGCCTCCCTCGAGCAACCCTGCCCAGCACCCGGTGTCCTGGGCAACCTGTGCAGACACGTTCCCTCAGGAGTGGCCCTCTGTCCAAGTTCTCCCTGAATTCAGGACCGAGTCCCTCCGTCCAGACCCCGACCAGAATCCGCGTCACAGGCTGGAAGCTGGCAGGGGGAGCCATCAGGAAGGGCCAGGTGTGAGAGAAGCTGGAGTCACACCGGTAGGAAGCCGAGGCCCCAGCAGGGCTGCCGAGCTCGCCCCTGCGGGTTTGACCAAGCACCGGGGCCATGTGGAAAGGGCTGGTCGTCGCTCCCTGGTGCCTCTGCTTATAGGGACCTCCCAGGAAGGACCCCATACTCCACAGCCTACTGTGTGGTCCCCACAAACTAGTGTCAGTGACACTGAGTAGCCCTTCCCTCCTCCACGCTGCCTGAAAGTCGACAGGAGCCTTCACAGTTTCCAGACCCACTTCTCTACCCAGCCCAAGCGCACAGACACGAGCCTGCCGGGAACGGGACAGGGGAGTGCAGCAGGAGGGATGGTGGTTAAGGCTGAGGTGCTGGACTCACATGGCTGACAGTGGTTCGAATCCCTGACCTGGCAGCTTGTGTTCTTGCCTTCCCTCTGTCTCTCTCTGGTTAGCACATGTGCTCTATAGAAAATTTTTTTTTAAAGTATGATGCAAATTGGTTTTTTTAAATAGTTATTTAATATTATTCATTATTATTTAAATTTGACCAGAGAGACACAAGAGGGAAAGAAAGCAAGTCGTCAGGTCTGGGACTCAAGCCACGGTCGGCCATGTGGGAGTCCAGCGCCCTAAACTCCACACGACTTGCCGGCCCCATAAAATTGAGTCTTTAAAGAGAATTTTTAAATAAAAAAAACATGCAGGAGGCCCTGCCACTGTCGGGGGGCCCTGCCATGCTCGAGTCCGACCGCGGGATGAAGCACCGGGAGGTGAGGAGCCTGAGGAGTTAGGGCTGTGGGGACAGCCAAAGCCCTTCCCTCCTGCACAGCAAGTCTCACCTCGCTGCACCTGCCCGAGGCCGCGGTAGTGCGCTAAGGGCACACAGACCCCCAGCAATACCAGACATGGAAGTGCCCCAAGGGTAGGGCTCGGGTGTGACAGGTGCTCACAGCCAGGACGCAGGGGCTGGCCCTGGGACCAGGTCCCAGGTGACCTGGACCCACAGGAAGACCTCCAGGCTGCCAGGAGGAGGCCAGGAACGCTGCTGCTGGCCAGGGCTCTGGGCAGAGTAAGGGAGTCCCGTGAGACTCGGTGGCTGGTGACAGACGGCGAGACACAAAAGCAGTCCGAGAGTTTATGAGAGATGCCCTCAGAACGGGGACCGCCACGCCCAGGTGACAAGGGCTCAGAACAGGACACCAGGCCCTGGATCCACCGCGTGCACCAGCGGGAACTTCGCAGGGCAGGGCGAGCCAAAATCTGAGTTAAGTGCTTCGTGTTAACTGAGGAAATGGGAGAGCCAGAATCGGAGGCCAGAGGGAGTCCACTTTTACAGGAAAGCCAAGAGGAAGCTGCAGCACATGGAGGGGACATCTGTGGTGCCAGGACACCTGCTTGTCCCCCCATAGGAAGCAGAATTGGGCAGCTGGCCACAGAAAGCCCCTCCGCGAAAGCCTCAGGACCCCGTGGGAGGCTGGGAGCCCAACAGAACCCCAGATCGGTGCCATCAGGGGGAGCGGGCTTGCCTGGGGCAGGCTGCTGACCCTGGCCACAGGAATGTCATTGCCCTGGGACCGAGCTACAGTCCTGTTGGCCACAGTCTGGCCACCAGAACCACCTGCCAGGGACCTGCTGGAAGGCGTGGCAGACTACAGGACCCCCGGGCTATGTCAGCAGACAGCCCGCCAGGTCTAGCCTGTAGAGACCAGAAGAGGTGTTTCTGCTTTTAAACACGCTGACACTACACAGGCTACGCAGGCGAGCCACCGAGGGTGAAGACAGCTCTACACCCAACCCCGAAGAAATGGAGATCTACTGACTGCCTGGCCTAATTCAGAATCATCTTAAATTCAGTAAAATGCCATGTAACACAGGCGACTACACAGGAAAACAATGCAAGAACAAGATGTGAACTTAAATTAAGGAAAAGAAACCATAAACATTTTTTCAAAAGAGCCAAATAGATACACTAGAGCTGAAGAACACAATGTCGGGATGAAACTGAACAACCCAGCGGAGAGCTTCGACAACAGGCTCTAAAGACGTCCAGTTCGTCTGGGCGGCACAAGTTGCTTGGGCTGCCTAGGCTCAGGCTGCCTGTGTCCGTTTCTACTCTACCCCTTTGTCGCATTTTTTCTGCTTCTTCCATAGTAGTGCCAAGCCAGGGGGCGGACGCCGACAGTCCCGCGGCAGAGCCAGTGACCTTGAGGGACAAGGAACGTACAGAGCAAGCTCTGAGCACCCACCAGACAGTCAGGCGATGAAAGGCTTGCGAGGAGGAGCGAGACGAGGGGTAAGAAAGCTCATTTAAAGAAATAATGGCTGAAACTGCGCCAATTCCTGGGACGAATGGGCACCCAGATTCATGAAGCTCAAAGGACTCTCACCAATACCAGCCCAAAGAGCACTCAGACGCTGAAATCGGACTCGCCAGGTCAAGGGTAGAGAGAACCGTGAGAGCAGTGAACGCAGAGACTCAGCTCCCTAAGTCTCTCAGCAGACTCCAGAACAGGATCCGCGGGCCAGGAGGGAGTGGGCTGACGCGTTCAGGTGAACGCCCAACCAGGAGTGCCATGCCCGGCCCTGCCATTCAGAAATGAATGTGCGGCGAGTACACCCCAGGCTGAGACTAAGCACCTTCGCCACCAGGCTGCCTGCCTCGCAGGAACGCTGAAGGGACCCTGAGTTGCAATGAAGGACACTAAGGAGCTTAGAGACGCGGAAAAGTATACAACTCAGTGGTGAAAGTAGATACATCGACCCACAGTATTCTAATGCCCTAAAGATGGTGCGGAGATCGCTTTTAACTCCGGAAGAAAAATGAAAAGACAAAGGTGTTAGGAGCACCTACAGCTGCAGTAACTGGACGGTGGGCACGGCCGTGAGGGGGCGCGGGCGGCGGCAGGCTCAGGGCAGGGTTTGGGCACGGTGGTGCACACGGACAGGAGGCCCGGGCATTAAAGTGCAGGATTAGTAGCAGGTTGAAATCAAGTTACCAGATTAAAATACAATGTTGTAACTGTGAGATGTTTTATGTTACATTTTACTAAAATGAGTGTAAGCCTCAGGTGACCACAAAAAAAGTTTCTATCAGATACACAAAAGACACAGTGAAAGGAATCAAAGCGCGTCACCACTAAGAAAGCTGGCAGAGGAGGATACGGGAACTACGAGACAGGAAGCGACAGAACGGTGACAGCGCGGCGCGCTACCGGGGTGTGCTCGAAGCAATTAGGCAAGAAACAGCACCTGAGTCAGTGATAAATTACTCCGATGATGTGGAAACCCCTAGGAAGTAACAGATTCAGTGAAAGTGTAGGGTCCAAAATTAATGTACCAAAATCAGCTGTTTCACACACCAGCAACCAACTGTGTCTGAAAAGGAAATTAAGGGCCAGCCCATTACAGTAACGTAACCAAGAACAAAACACTTGGGAATTAATTTAAACAGCCCAGCGGCATTTTTCACGGGAATAGGAAAACGACCGTAAAATTTGTATGGAGTCACGAAAGATCCTTATTAGCCAGAGCAGACCCCAGAGGGAAGAGCAGACCTGGATGAAGCACACTCCCTGGTTTCATTGTATTACTGAGTTGCTACAGTCCAAGCAGAAAGGCACTGGCAGGCATAAATGGTGCTTGGGGGAGCAGCAGATGGCACAATGGCTATGTTGCTGGACTCCCATGTAGTCGACCGCGGTTCGAGTCCCAGGCCCTATGGCTTAAACTCATGCCGGGCGCGTGTGCTTGTGTGCCCAAAATCCCAAGAGGAGAATGGAGGAAAAGGGACTACAGCATGGCCATCCCCCTGGGGGGTGATTTCTCTCTTTCTGGTGAGTGCACGCACCTTATAGCAAAAACTTCTCATTCATAAATAAAGAAATAAAGTGCCCTATAGCAAAAACCTCTCCAAAATAAATACGTAACAAATGAATGAGTGGATGGAACTTCGAAAATTGGATACCACACGCAAAAAAGATAAAGTTGGACCTTCTTTTACATCATGTATAAAAATTCATGCTAAGGTCCAGCAGGTGGTGTGGTGGTTGAGGTGCTGGCTTCCCACATGGCCAACTGTGGTCTGAATCCTGGACCTGGTGGCTTGCTTTCTCACTTTCCTTCTGTCTCTCTGGTGCACATATATGCCCTATAGCAAATTTTAAAAATAAAATAAATTTAAATGAAATGAATGCTAGGTGGATTAAGGACCTGGAACCGTAAAGCTCCTCGAAGCGAGCAGGGAAATGGCCCCAGCGCTGGTCCTGGCGCAGTTCCAGCCGTGACAGAGCTCGGGCAACAGCGCCGACAAACGAGAGCAGCGCTTCTTGCTCATGAGCACCGCGGCGCGGGGGCGACACAAGCATTCCAGGTGTATGTCTAACTAGGCAACATCCAAGATACTAAGAACCTCGTGGAACTCAACAGCAAAAAGAACAGGCAAAAACACTGAACAGACATTCTTCCAAAGAGAAACCGCTCTATGGGAGTGCTCAAATCAGGGGTCACAGGGAAATGGGTACCAAAACCTGACCGAGATGCCACCTGCCCTGCAGGACGTTAGGTGGCCATTGGCAGAAAGCCGGGAGACGAGGGCGC